TTGTCACTGGTTTTGATGCCTCTTTCAAAGGCCTGACAACTTTATTATAATTCATTACAAATGATATCAAATTATATAGATTCCATTTGTATGTGCTGGGAATTTCATTATTACTGCAGTTTTCACTCATAAGGTATATATATATACACATCATGTATATTCATCTACATGGCATAACGTCAAATTTACTGAGCACCTACTATGTGCCAAATACTGTGCCTGGAGACATAGATACAGTCTCTGATAATGTGCGTGGGGGTGGAAGGCAATATGATTTTCACATGGTCTGAGAAATATTATAAAGAGATAAGCACAGGGTAGGTACAAAGAGGAAGGACATATGTGTGAGAAGGAAGAGAACACAGTAGGCTTCTGGAAAATGGAAGCATGTAAGCTGAAATTTAAAGGATTATGAGAAGTTAGGCAAAAACCAAGAGGAAAAGGTGTTGTAGACATGGAATAGCAAGTGCAAAGACAGGGAAACAGAAGAGTATGCCAAGTTCCAGAAAGTCCAAAGTAGCCTCATATGGTTGACTGCAAAGAATGGGCAAAAATTCAAGATGTGGATTGAGAAGTGCACAGTTGGAATCCTTGTATGGCAATTTAAGAAATTGTGATGATATTCCGAAAGCAATGGCAGCTACTGTGAAGGATACTCAGCATAGGAGGGACAGCGTCAGATTGCTTACTGCCTTGGAGATCCCTGGGGGAGGGAGGGTAGAACCAAACACAGAAGAAAGATGACTCTGGCTGTAGTGTGGAGGGTGGCTGACGAGAAGGAATTAGACTATAGGTAGGAAGAGAAATTAGAGCATCTGCTGTGATTTCTATGAAAAATGAAAAGGATTTGACTGATAGCAAATAGTGGTAGAAACAGAGACAAGGCAGAAAAACAGAAATATTTAGAAGGTAGAATCAACTGGACTTGGTGAATAATTAGGAGGTAAACTGTGATTTCCAGGTTTCTTATTTGGAAAACTAAAAATAGTAGGAATACATAAAAATAAATTTTAAAAAAGGGAAGAATGATTAGGTCATTATTGGTTACGCTGAGTAGTTTGAAATATTTGCTGTATATTTAAATGGAGCTATAGGAAGCATTTAGTGCTCAGGAAAATGATCTGTGCTCAACATGTAAAATTGGGAACATTAACCTTTCGATAATAGTTGAAATCACAGAACACGGAAATAATGAAAAAGGGCTTAGAACACATCCTGGGAACCTCCAACATTTAAAGGTAGACCATAAAGATATGAGAAAAGAATATCAATTAGGTAGAAAAAAAAATCAGAAGATAATGATGTAACCAAAATTAAAGAGAGAGTTTCAAGATGGAGGCAGTAGTCGTGTCACATGCTAAGAACAATTTACTTCAATTAGCGTAACAGATATATAACTAATATTTTGTACATATTTTACGTCATTTATTAATTTTTCTACTAATCAGACGTGTCTGTATATTGTGCATACCTCTGTCTCAGCTTGAGTTCTTTGGCAGCGATACTGAGCAATCAGTCTATCTGCCTGGGCAAGGGCTAGAGCTTTTGCTTCCAAGAGATCTTGCAGCCTGCTTTCTTTGGACTATAAGAAAACATACCATTAATTTTCATCATTTTAGGAAAACATCTATTAAAGCTTATTACACATAGTTAAAATAAGCTTGTACTCACAGCTAATGTGGACAGCTTCATCTCATATACATCCATTATGTCAGATATTCTCACATCATTAATTTGGTCCTTTACCTAGGTTTTCACAGAGTAAAAAAACAGAACACATTAACACTTGACAAAATAAAATAAATGCCCACTTCGAAATTAAAT